TTTTGATTTAAAAGCAAAAAGTTTAGAGTCATCCAATGTTTTATGTTCTCAAGACAAGCCTGTAATCTACCCAACCGATTAGGTTCATCAGGGTTAATGGATAAATATAGCTGAGTATCGTCAGCATAACAGTGGACGTTTATCCCATGCTGTCTAATGATTTTACCAATTGGGAGCATATATATAGTAAAAATAATTGGTCCAAGCACTGAACCCTGTGGTACTCCACAAGTAACCCTGGAGTATGAAGATGATTTGTCATGTACACTTACAAAATGAAATCTGTCAGACAGGTAGGATTTAAACCAGTCTAACGCTGTTCCTTTGATCCCTACATGTTCAAGTCTTTCTAAAAGAACATTGTGATCAACTGTGTCAAAGGAAGTGGCGTCCTGACCAATCACAAGCTTGTGGTCTCCTCTTTCAATGGATAGATAAAAATTAGGGCATGACTCGTCACCCACTTCTAAAAAAAAGAAAATTAGATCCCTTAGTGATGAATAACAACAAACCAATGTCTAATCTCCCCTTCATTGGGAAAATGATTGAAAAAGCTGTTATGATCCAGCTGAACAGTTTTTAGAGAAACAACCTGCTAGATGGTTTTTAGTCAGGCTTTAGACAACACCACAGTTCTGAGACTGCACTTATTAAAGTATTAAATGATATTTGTCTCAATACAGATTCAGGCAAAACATCTGTTCTGATGATGCTGGATATCAGTGCAGCTTTTGATACTGTGGACCACAACAACATTCTTGATAGGCTCATGAACTGGGTGGGACTTTCAGGCACAGTCCATAGTTGGTTCCAATCTTATATTGAAGACAGGGGTTATGTTGTTTCTTTGGTGATCACAAATCAAAGCTGATCACCATGACATGTGGGGTCCCCCAAGGCTCAATTCTTGGACCACTGCTCTTCAATCTCTACATGCTCCCCCTGGGTAAGGTTGTACAAAATATCAACATTACCTATAATAGTTATAAAAATGACACCCAGATCTACCTAGCTCTATCACCTAGTGACTGTGATCCTTTAGACTCACTCTGTCAGTGTTTGGAGCAAGTCAGTGACTGTATGCAGTCAAACTTCCTCCAGATGTCCTCCACCAAAGAAAAGACAGAAGTTATTGTCTTTAGAAATAAGAAAGATAGGATGGACGTTTTATCATCTTCATCAAATAGGACTCAGAGGTTTCATGTCCTTACAATACCTAGAGAAACAAATTCATGCATTCATCTCAAGCAGGCTGGACTATTGCAATGGTCTTTTGACTGATCTTCCCAAAAATGCTGTGAAGCAACAGCAGCTTATTCAGAATGCTTCTGTTAGAGTCTTGGAAACGCTGAGATCCTTAGGAAACAGTCAGCTGGTCAGAATTCTGGGTCAGAATTTGGTACTTTTTAAGGCACCAACCAAATTCCATAGTATCAACTGAGTACTGATTCACGTCACATGAAACAGTGCCTTTTTTCGGTACCCGAGCTGTGCGCCATCGCAAGAACGTAACATGGTCAGTCACTGTGGGCGAGCTGTAAACAATGCAGCATGACAGAGAGGAAGCGTTCTAAAGTTTGGGTCCACTTCACTAAATGGGGTAACTGGGTGAAAATGAAAAAAGCAACAACGATCTAAGTGAGGCATCATCATCTTAATCTGCTCTTGTAGGTAAACAAAATGTTTAAGATAACGTTAACTTAATGGTGCGTTTGCTTTCTCCTCAGGACTCCAAAAATCCAACTAGAAGAAAGTGAACGCGCTCTAAGGTTTGGCTTCACTTCACTAATTACGATGGGCTATTGGGTGATGATGAAACCAGCGACAAAAATCTGAGTATGAGGCATCTTAATCTGCTCCAGCAGCAAAATAAACTAAGATGACGTTAGCTTGATAGTTTAGTTTTTGTTTATATGGCTTATGGTGCATTCGCTTTCTCCACGGAAATTCCAACTTCTGAATACGAAAAATGAACAGTTTGAATATGAATGGCAAAAAGAATGAAGATACAGTAAATTTAGTTCACAGCAAAGATGTTTGCTTCAGTGTAATTTTCAGTTTATGAAACTACAAGGACCCACCATCACAGTTTGTCCAGAGGTGAAGGGAGAGGAAAAGGAGTACATGGAGCTGGGTGTAGTTTGTGAAACACCACAATATTAAAATACAATCTGTTGTTTGGTATCAAAGTTTGCTTTTAGTTTCATTTGTGGTTTATAATACATTGTCTCCTCATCAGAGTTACTCCAGAAGGCATAGAAGAGGATTAGGAGTATATGGAGCTGGGTTTGTTTTTGCGTCATTTAGAAACAGTTGTTAAAGGTTTTCAGGTTGAAGAATTTTGTACAACACTACGATGATAAAATACAAACAGTTGTATGTTATTTATCATGATATTTATCAAATCCGGTTATCTATTGGGAAGATAATTTATGTTTAGTTTAAAAAGCATTTAAAATATGTATTAAACACTCAAAAGTATTGAAAATTGGTACCGGTTAAATGTTTCACTACCATCTGTGAGAGAGCAGGGGGGTGGAGGAGGGGGAGAATGCGTGCGTGCAGGGGCGTAGCAAGTTTTTCTTAAGTGTGGGTGTTGAGATTCATGTATTCAGTTCTTATTTCACCACAAGGTGTTCACCAGTACCAAACAGCAGACATGAAAAGGATGATAAGTATTAAACTACTCTAGGGGGGTCCGGGGGATGCACCCCCCGGTAGAAAATTTGGGACATTTTATATTTAAAAGCATCAGACTGGTGCAATTTGAGAAAAAAGTATAGTTACAGGCTGGTGAGAATGTATGTTAAAGTATCTTTTCATGTTCGCAGCATTATTATATTATATTTGATTGATTATATAATCTGTCCTGTCTTTAATCCACTTTGAACACCAACTACAGCGAAATCCTCTGATGCACCCATGCTGCTCAGTACCACAACTGTACTGTTGTCATTAGTTACTAAAAGAACCATCAGCTGGCAGAGCTACTGTTGAACGTGTGAGCGTGCACAACTTGCAAAACTACGTGATTCAATTTAAGAAACAAAGTGGAATCAAACTGCTGTTATTTATTTGTTGTTGATGTTAATGGGACTCTAAGGAAGTTTGAAGTTTTTATGCTCGCGATTGCCACTCAGGCCTAACACGTAACTGCAGTTTCAAAAGTAATCTCGTGCATGAGGTGCGCATGCTGTACGTGTACACTCCTTAACGAAAATAACAGCTGAGACAGTCCCGTGTGTGTGCCCGGAGGACAGAAGAACACAGCGAATTAATAAAAATAATGTGCCTCTGTCTCTGCAGCTGCACTTTCTCGTCGGCCGGCCGAACGTGCAGTGTGTGTGTGTGTGTGTGTGGGTCTGTGTGTGTGTGGCCCGGAGGACAGAGGACAGGAGAACACGCAGCTAATTAATTAAATAATGTGGTTCTGTACCTTTCTCTTCAGCGCAGCCGACAAAGGTTTATGATGGGTCAGTCCTCCTGCATGCTCAGATCATTCCCTTCCCTTGCTTGAAAAATTGTTCCAAAATGAAAGTTGAACCCACATCTTTTTTATCTGTGAATTCAATGCCGTTCGGCGAGTCTCAAATAAAAATTTGGGCATCTTATTACTGTAAAAAAATATCATTAATGTAAAAACAAGAAACTCCAAATAACAAATTATGTTCACAACTGGAGTTGAACCCAGGTCTTCTGCATGAGAGTCAGACATCTTACTAGGTGAGCTAATGCGCCAGTGACATTCAATGCATCTGTAACATTTATATCCTTGATGACATCTCAAACAACGTCAATCCAAAGAACGGTTCGGAGCAAAAATGGCTATTTTGTTGCTAATTTGCAGGAAATATCTAGAAGAAAGTCCTACAGAAAGTAGCTAAGGGTCCTCAGAAATGTAGCTAGCTTTGTCACTAGGCGTTAGGAACAGCAACAGATTCGCTGAGTTGGCACTGCCTCTCTCTCTCTCTCTCTCTCTCTCTCTCTCTGCTGCTAAAGCTACGGATAGCAAATGCTACGGGCTATGCCTGAGCGTGAACGTGCATGAAGCAGCCTGCTCGACCCGAGCATCTCTCTTTTTCTGTGATTTTACAGAAAAACAGGCAATCACAGTAAAAATGCCAGTGCTCATTCTACAGGACCAGGGCATTGCAGGAGAATGTATGAAGAAGACATTTATTATTTCTACACATGTTTTGGCTGTCACATTTCCATAATGCCCCTTTAACATAGAAACTAAATATATCTGCAGGGCTTTAGGCCCAGGGCAGTTTTATACCTCAGAACAAACCACATCCAGACTTGTTATTAATTACAGTACAATCAGAAAAATCTGTATTGTTCACAGACATCCATACCTTAGAAATGAAATGGTGGTGTCATATTCGCGGAACGTTTCGCTCACTGCCATGAGAATGAAGAAGGGGGTAATAGCGCGGAAAGTTTCGGTGCCGTGCGTGTGCCGTGAGAGCGGGGGTTGATTTCATAGCTGTGGTGCTAGAATTTCAGGTGTGCCACGCCTGAGCCTATGTAGGAGCAACACTGTGGCATTTCAAGGGTCCTCAAAAAATACGTATTAATGTATACATTTTTGTAGCCACTTTCATGAGCGGACGTTTTTACCCTCTAAAGACTCAAGCGTATAGTAAAAATTAAAGTGAAGCTTGAGGGTTTAGTCAGGATAAAACAGCCAATATGTGCTAATAGTGTTTTAAATCATATCATTTTCAAATGTTCTACAGATCCTTTTCTTTGAACAAATTTATATTTTATAGCTAAATTTAATCAAAAGTGAAAAGCAAAGAGAAAACTTGTTTTCTTCTCAGTCTTAAAATACAAAAACAATGAATGTTTACAGTCAAATAACTGAGTCATGTAACAAAGAACAGTTTTGCTTTGTTTTGTGTTTGCGGTACAGTCCACGAGATAGCCCCCCAACCCATGTGGAAGTGTTGACCTTGCATCTGCTGAAAATCACAACAAAGAATTATTAACACTACCTTGGAAGGATTCTCATCGTAGGTGGGTGTTCCCAGGTCCATCTCAGATTCATGGTCTACGCTGGTTCCTTCACTACTTCCATCCCAGTTGGGTGGATCCCACTGAGTCTGTCTGAAGTAGAAAAAAATATTACTATTGCGACACTTTCTAACAACAAACACACGCTCTGCTGTACTGACCTCGTGACAATATGGTAGTAGTAAATCTTGCCTTCAGGATCCCGGGCCACTTTCCAGTTAGGAGGTAGGACAATTGTTTTGGGTTTTGGAGGAGAGGGAGGAGGCAGGTCGATCACATTGTTGGGTACAATCAACTCCTAGTGACAAAAACATGCGTTAACAGATGCAGAGAACGTTCAGTTGCACATTTAATTAAAGTAAAGGTCTTCAACCCAAAACTTAAACTAAATAACAGCATAATATCAAGAGACACAAGCCCAAATCACTATTTTTGGGATTTAAGTGTGATCTGTTGTAAAACCCTTACGCCCGGATCACATCAGACGTGGAACGACGAGCGTTTTCATTCGGCACCCTTGTTAACCTACGTTCTCGGTCACATCAGCTGCAAAGCACTGCGAAGCGCCACAAAGGCTCACACTGTGCAGCAATCGCTTCGGCGTGTGCTGTAATTTTTTCACGAGTCGTGAGTGAGCCGTGTCAATTGTGGCAGGAAGTCAAACCCAAAAAGAAGAGGCAGGTAGGTAAATTTAACAAAATAAAGAAAAATTTCCAAAGAAAACACGGCAGTTGATAAATGTTATCTTTATTGTGTATGTAAACAGACTAGACATGAAAATACAGTGGGGCAAATAAGTATTTAGTCAGCCACCGATTGTGCAAGTTCTCCCACTTAAAATGATGACAGAGGTCAGTAATTTACATCATAGGTACACTTCAACTGTGAGAGACAGAATGTGAAAAAAATCCATGAATTCACATGGCAGGATTTTTAAAGAATTTATTTGTAAATCAGGGTGGAAAATAAGTGTTTGGTCACTTCAAACAAGGAAAATCTCTGGCTCTCACAGACCTGTAACGTCTTCTTTAAGAAGCTTTTCTGTCCTCCACTCGTTACCTGTATTAATGGCACCTGTTTGAACTCATTATTTGTATAAAAGACACCTGTCCACAGCCTCAAACAGTCAGACTCCAAACTCCACTATGGCCAAGGCCAAAGAGCTTTCGAAGGACACCAGGAAAAGAATTGTAGACCTGCACCAGATTGGGAAGAGTGAATCTACAATAGGCAAGCAGCTTGGTGTGAAAAAATCAACTGTGGGAGCAATTATCAGAAAATGGAAGACATACAAGACCACTGATAATCTCCCTCGATCTGGGGCTCCACGCAAGATCTCATCCCGTGGGGTCAAAATGATCATGAGAACGGTGAGCAAGAATCCCAGAACCACACGGGGGGACCTGGTGAATGACCTGCAGAGAGCTGGGACCACAGTAACAAATGTCACCATCAGTAACACACCACAATGGCAGGGAATAAAATCCTGCAGTGCCAGACGTGTTCTGCTGCTGAAGCCAGTGCATGTCCAGGCCCGTCTGAAGTTTTCCAGAGAGCACATGGATGATACAGCAGAGGATTGGGAGAATGTCATGTGGTCAGATGAAACCAAAGTAGAACTTTTTGGTATAAAGTCAACTCGTCGTGTTTGAAGGAAGAGAATACTGAGTGGCATCCCAAGAACACCATACCTACTGTGAAGCATGGGGGTGGGAACATCATGCTTTGGGGCTGTTTTTCTGCTAAGGGGACAGGACGACTGATCCGTGTTAAGGACAGAATGAATGGGGCCATGTATCGTGAGATTCTGAGCCAAAACCTCCTTCCATCAGTGAGAGCTTTGAAGATGAAACGTGGCTGGGTCTTCCAACACGACAATGATCCCAAACACACCGCCCGGGCAACAAAGGAGTGGCTCCGTAAGAAGCATTTGAAAGTCCTGGAGTTGCCTAGCCAGTCTCCAGACCTCAACCCCATAGAAAATCTGTGGAGGGAGTTGAAAGTCCGTGTTGCTCGGCGACAGCCCCAAAACATCACTGCTCTCGAGAAGATCTGCATGGAGGAATGGGCAAAAATACCAGCTACTGTGTGTGCAAACCTGGTAAAGACCTATAGCAATCGTTTGACCTCTGTTATTGCCAACAAAGGTTATGTTACAAAGTATTGAGCTGAATTTTTGTTATTGACCAAATACTTATTTTCCACCCTGATTTACAAATAAATTCTTTAAAAATCCTGCCATGTGAATTCATGGATTTTTTTTTCACATTCTGTCTCTCACAGTTGGAGTGTACCTATGATGTAAATTACTGACCTCTGTCATCATTTTAAGTGGGAGAACTTGCACAATCGGTGGCTGACTAAATACTTTTTTGCCCCACTGTAAACAAAGACGCCAACACACACACTTACTCATTCATGTGGAGAAACAGCATTTCCATCATTTTAAATGCAGTTTATACAGCAAAAGATGGATTTAATAAATGTAAATACAACCAAATATGCTTAATTCATACTAACCCTAACCCATTTAGCAAGGAACTGGTTAACAAAACAGCAGCAGGATCAGTGCAGTTTCTAATATCAACAAGCATGGCAAACTGGTTACACACACACACACACACACACACACACACACACACACACACACACACACACACACACACACACACACACACACACCAAGGGCACAGGGGGTGGGGTGAGAGGGGTTGGAAAACAGGAGGCGTGAGCAGAAGCGCTCGTCAAATTTCTCGCCTGATGTGAATAGAGGAGCAATGGGCAGCGTGCAAATTTTGTGAGAGATCCGCTTCGCAGCTGACGTGATCCCGGCATAAGAAGGCACTATACAAATACAGGCCATTTAGCATCGCTGAGGTATTGGATTGGGACTCTTATCAAAATAAAATGACACGGATCGGCTGCGGCCGCAGCTCCTGACAGCCACCTCAACAGTAGAAGCACTTAACATAGCCCACTGCGACTCCCTCGGGACCTGTTCGAAGGAGGTGGGAATTGAAGCTCCTTCTGACAGGAAACTCCAGCAGACGTTCCCAACAGACCCTCACAATACGTTTAGGCATGCCAGGTCTGACCGGCTTCCTCCCCCACCATCAAAGCCAACTCACCACCAGTGGTCAGTTGACAGCACCGCCCCTCTCTTCACCCGAGTGTCCAAGACATGCAAATGAGATGATACAACAACAAAGTCAATCATCGAACTGTGGCCTAATGTATCCTGGTGCCAAGATGCTTGAACATGGTGTTCCTTATGAATAATCCATGACTAACACAGAAGTCCAGTAACAAAACACCACTCAGATTCTGATCGGGGGGGCCATTCCTCCCAACCATACCTGTCCAGGTCTCACTGTCGATGCCCACATGAGCATTAAGCCTAATTTATACTTCTCCGTCTGTGTCAGGACAGACGCATGCAACGCCATTATCCGTCCTGTTGAGGGCTCTTCAGCAGGATGGAGTTGAGCTCTCTTTTCTAAACGTCCGCCTAACAAGACGGAGAATGCAAGCTAACGATTGATCAGAAAGCTGCTGTCGTCAACCGCACCGCCATTGCACCCTCAAAAACATAAAGAGAGCTGAAGATATCTAGCGGCAGACACGGAGCAGCTTGAAGAATTCCTCGCGGAAAAACTCTAAAAATATGAACGTTTTATTCACCTGTGACTTGAGGAATTAAAAGATATGCAGCAAGCATTTTATTTGTGGATGGAAATGACGGTAAACGTGGATTCAGAGGTGGCGAGTGCATGAGTAGGTGGAGGAGAATGAGACAAATTTGTTCACATTAAAAAATCTCTGAAATACAAAAAATACAATAGTAAATGCACCATCTTGGACCGTATACATGACAGGATACCCCAAAACAGCACTACGCCCTCTGTTGTCCTGGCAGGGAATTGCTTTGCAAAACACATAGACGGAAAGGTCCGAAGGCAAAACTTCTCCATATGTGCATGCCGGTCTCTCCCTAGTGGAGCTGACGGAGAACTATAAATTAAGGCTTTAAATTCCCCCAGCAGAATGAGGGAGTAGTGATGGGGCAAACGAAGCCAGGCTTCGAGACGTGTATCGAGCAGGAATGGGGCATGTCCATGAAGCCCCGCTTTGAGGCTTGCTTCATTTCGCAGAAAACTACGTGACTGATCACAAACAAAGCCTTGGTTTACCTGAGTCACGTGACTGGTTTGTTTTCTGTGTCACTTTCAAAATAAAAGCTGCCGAACCTCACGGTAATTTGTGGGTTGTTTTAGTTTGGTCCATGTGTCTGTGTGGAGTTGCGATGTGAAAAGATCTTATTGACAGAGTTCATCCACAATTTCAGGATCACACCTGTCAAGTTTCGAGTTTCGTGCTTGAAACTTGTTTTAAAAACCATAATCTATATTTACTGCTTTTTCCTGTTGTCTTCCCCAATTATTATTCACTGAAAATGTCCGGTATTAAAATCATTCATGAGGAAGCCCCGTCTTCTGTAGGTAGAAGAAGACAGGGTAACATCGATTATACGGACCTAGTTTGAGTTTAAGGAGACTGATGTTGAGTAGAAAGACATCCTCAGTTAAATATTCTGGGCGACTATCTGTGTAAAAGCACGTTAACACAGATGAGATGCGTTTCTTTTATTAACACATGATGAACACAGGCTTCCAAACTTTCTGAACATTTCCTGTTATTTAGTTTGAACCAAATTTTCTCAACAGTTTCAGCTGATTGTCACATTTTATTAATAATAAACCACAACAGAGCTCAGTAATAAAACATGAGTCTGAACCCCCCCGCTCTGCACAGGTCAGCAGAAGAGAGGATAACCCTCCCTTATTTTAATATCGTCAACAATAAAACGCAGCAAAGCATAAACCAGCAGTTATTCACTGAAGAAAACATAACTTCTATGAGCAAAATAAAAACAATAAAATGAAAAAAAAAAAGAATCAGAAAAGCAGGAAGAATTGTTATTTATGTTTTAACATTTTTCATTTTGTTTCATGATGTTTGTTTACAATTTTTTTTCTGGGAAAGTAAACTGTGCATGCTCAACCTATTTGATCTGATTAAATACTTGGTGAATATAAACTCACGGCATGATCGGATCATTTCAGTTGGCGTCCATGTAAACAGAGATTTGGGATTTCCGATCAACCAAGATTCGAATGGATTGGGGAAATTTGGCACATGTAAACGTGGCTTCTGTCAGCGCTTCTCCTCAGGAACGTCAACATACCGCACTCCCGTCCACTCATCAGTGACGTAGGACGCAGATTTAATGTGACATGA